GAGAGGGAAAGTCCAACATAGTGAATGTCTGTGTTTTTCATTTCTTTTCCTAAATCCCTAAGTGGGAATGTATATGGGGAGATGCTTTGCACAAACCGTGGAGGAGGGTATTCTCTCCTCTTTTTTCTTTTTTTTTTTTTTTATTAGTTGGATGGTAGAAGTATTATTGTGGACTATGCAAAAACTGTCAGTTTACATGGAGCACTTAATCCTCTAGTTAGCTTGTAGATAAGATTTATTTAACGAGAAGTAGCTCACAGCAGGTAGAAGGGCAACTTCAACACCTGCTCAGGGACACCACTAAAGCCAGTCTGCTGGTTTTCCATTTCCCTCCTCCCAGCTGTACTTGATAAAACTATACCCTGGTCAGCTAGGGTCCTTTTCCGGAGGATGCAGGAGTCATGATTTCTGCTTCCACTTCTGTAACTACTGCAGTGGTGCTGTTAACTCGCTGGAGTATAAGCACTGCTTCCAATGTAATGCTTAATTTACAGTGACATATACAGGGATCTCCTTAGACTTTGTTGACATGCAGCTGCGTCTGGTGTAGGATGCCACAGCAGTAGACAGCAAGTTTGAGTAGAAAGCATAAAGGAGGTAAAATATGAATTTATAGTTTGAGTTATGGACTGGCAAGAAATGCTATGATTCTGCTGAATTTAGCTAGGGAACTGTGCTTCGTGCTTTAGAAATTGTACCTTACTTCAAATTAGAGTATCTACTGATCTTTCATGGCAGGTGAGCATAGATCTCAATTTTATGTGGAAGAGCATCTCAAGTGATGCACTATGTTCTGAACTGTGCCTTACTCTGAATAATAGTATAATTTCCTCTTTGGGGCACACTTACGAGCCGATAAACTGCTAATCTCAGTTCATGTGTATGTACAAGAAAATGTCTCCTATGACAAATCCTAGAAGATAAAGGTCAAATTAACCACTTCAAAACATTGACTAATGAATAGTGAAATGACAGTTAAAAGCGAAAATGTACATAAAAATTTATCCCAACGCAGGGTTATTGGTTGGACTGGAAGGGAGCAGAGTGAAACAAACTCAGCACTGATTTCTCTCCTTTTGTTCTTTAAAGATACTGTCGTGTGGGGACTATAGTCCTTTTCTACCTCACACATGAATCAGCTTGTGGAGTGATTGAAAGCATGAATAATGAGGGCCGCTGAAGGATGTTAGATAAACTTCTGTGCCCTTCATAAACATAAAAGAGCAAGCAGTCACTTCCCAAATGTGATTTTGCAGACACTTCTTTTGGTATTTTTCCCTTTTCTCAGAGATCAATGGCAGTGCCACCAACTCCTCTTCATACTGCACGGGTCCTGCAAGAGGATAAAGACCACTGGGATGAAGTTAAAGTGAGTCAATCGTAGTTCAGATTTCTTAAAGTCAAGTCTGATAAGAGATTGGACGGGCTGGCTTCTCTGCATGTGCTTAGTTCCTTGGAGATTATGGCTATTTTGAATACAACCATGTTAAACAAGGGAAGCATGAGCAGTCCTGGTTAGAACAGTAGTGTATATGGTAACAGTTTAAAAAAGAATAATGCTATTTGAGCTTCGTCCGACAGCCTCACAGCTGTGCCAAATACCAACAAAGAAGATGTTTATGATCAAAGTTACTAATGACGCTACCTGCTGAGCCAGTGTATGTAACCACAGAGGAGAAGGGACCGTGTTGAGGGAACTTGAAGTTCATTATAGTGAAGTGAAGAATATGATGAAAATGTAGGGGGATGGGGTGGGAGGGTTGAGCTGCATTCTGGTTTTCTACTCTGTTCTTGTATTGTAAAACAACATTAAATTACCTTAGCCTTGTCTTGTTGTGACATCGGGTGAGGGGAAAGAAACATACATGTCTTTCCCTTAATCTAACCAGGTGCCTCACCTACTGTTTGTACTGATGACAGTTGAATGCTTCCTGCAAAGAGAAACTGTAGGGCAGACTAAAAGTTGTTTGCAAGCTTTAACTCTTTCCTGCTGGCCTTTATCAGGTTGCCATGTTTTTACAATTAACTCTGAATTTTTTGCACTTACAGTGCTTGGCATTTTGATAATTGCAACATTCCTGTAGTGTATTTTACTGGTTACTGGTTTTATTTAAACTACTGATGTGTAGTCTCAGCTGTTGAACTATGTAGTGGTAAAATTTCATAGATCCTAGGGAACATTTGCCTCCCGAGTCAGAGATCAAACAGATAGTTTCACTTAGCATTCTTCATTTCCATATTTCCAAGAACTTCTTATACTTGTGCTTTGCATAGGTCCCAGAGGTATTACCTTGGGCCACCAGCGTTCCCATAATATTTAATTGTTTTTCCTTTTCTGAACTAAATGCATAGACATTCATTTACTTAAGCAGATTTTTGCTCAAAGCCTTATTAAAAAGTTTAAAATTTGCCTGCACTTAAACATTAACCCAAACTAAGGAAGCGTGTGAATTTGAAGCACGTACTTTTAAAAAGCTTTGTGTAGACTCCTTTATTCTAGTTCCTGCTAACCTAGTTTGGTAACAGAGCAAGGAAAGCAGCGCTCTGGTATAAGAAGCCCAGGCTCAGTAGCTGGTGAAGGCCCAGAGCCAGCCAGTAAGAAGTGCTGGGCATAGGGACATGGAATTTAGGCCAGCGGAGTGTGGTCCTGCTTGCTCACATATGAAACACTGTGTGAATAGTTCCTCCTGAATGAGTCCATGAGTAGAACGAAGCCTTTAGTCATAGTCCAGTGCAGCAGAAAGGGCTCAGCTATTTCTGGCCGTAGTGTAACAGAGGGTTCCTTTTTGTACATTCATCTCCTGGCAGTAGCATTGGGTGGCTGTGTGCTCTCTGCCTCAGGGCTTTCAATAAATTGCTTCCTTGGTTTCAGGAGGAGATGACCAGTGCTTTGGCTACCATGAGGGTGGACTATGATCAGGTGAAAATCAAAGACTTGAAAACATCCAACAACCGCCTCCTGAACAAACGCCGTAAGAAGCAGAAGCAGGCAGGCACCTCTTCTGCAGCCCCAGGGTGCAACAACCAATGACAAGAGAAGCCAAGGACCTGTGGGTGGGAGGTAAAAACAAAAAGGAACAATTTAAAATCAGTATGATCAACTCAGTCCGTACCACAAAGGCAATGAGACCGTGAAGAAGCTATCCTGCAAAGAGGGAGCAGTGTGAAAAATTACATTTTTATAACTTGAATCAGGGCTTTGCTTTTAAAGGCTAATGTATATGACGTGATTCTGTTGCATATTGCTAGGGAAGGTACAGTAATACCAGAAATGTTACGGGTTTTTGTTTTGGCTTTAACTGCATTGGACAAGAGGAGAGAACAGGAGGCAGTCTCAGCATGCTAATGCACTGAGGCTTTAACAGCCACCTACAAGAATAACTTCTGCTACCGTTTTAAACTTGGGAACAGAAAAAATGCCAAGTGTCCTGCTAGGAGCGTTTTAGTCGTTCAAACTTGAGTACTGAGAAAGAAGAAAAATGTCACTGCTCTTTATATGAGCAGCACAGGTATAGTTCTATTATGGATGCATCTGGACAGCATTTTGTGTTAGAATTGGTAATAGTCAATATTTCCAAACTTACCTCCTATAGTTACAGAATATCACCTAAACAGTAAACAGTTATTTCTGTTACAGGAAAAAGCATCCATACATTTCCATTTTCATAAAGTCTTCATGTAGTCTCGTGAAGATTTGAGTTTGTCATGGATTCTCATTTGATAACATGTAAGTTTTCTAAACTGTAACCATTATGTCGTGTCTATGCCACTGTCAGATCCCTGTCTTGTAATGTTTTTAATTTAATGGTACTTTATGTGAAGAGTTTTAATAAGGATTTAATTAGTTGAAAGTGTCCTGCAGAGAATATTGTTCTTCCTCTTGGATCCACAACCTCTAGGGCTTGCAACTGGACATGCAATTGTGTACAAGAGACTGCTCTAGAAGAGAGACTTCTGAAATTCGGGAAGAAGTGGCAAATGCATGTTCTCTGAATGGACCCTGGTGTCTGCCAGCATCCCATCTGGTAATTATCTCCAGATCCTGTGCCTAAGATGTGCTGATAATGGCAAATTTTGGAGTGCTGGGGTTGGTTTGTTTCCTGGGGTCAGGGAGGGGGAGGGTGCTACTTTATTTGCAGTGTTTTGTCAGTGTTTCTGGATCCAAAGATTTTCGCCACCTGAGGGAGATTACCTATAAGTATATCCACCCATTGTTTTTTTTCCTATTCTAATTCTTGTTTTATGGGATCCTAGCCTTGGTTTGCTAATTTGTTTTACTTTGTGATCAAAATATTTCCTCTTGCTGTATTTTGGGGTTTTTTTTAGTTGAGGTGAAGCAAATATTTGTGAAAGTATTATCAGAGTCTAGGATGAAAATTACGTGCTTCCAGTGATGCAGGCAAAAACTGCTTTGTGGTAGACACACAGAGTACCGCTGTGTTAATAGGCTCGGAAGAATGTTAAAAGACAAAAAGGAAATCAAGGCTCCAGAGGGGATCTGAGTCGTCAAATCTGACTGCCACATAGATCTTGTTACCTCCAGCAAAGATCAACTTGAGGCTTTGGACGTTGTCTGGGGAGCCCTGTTCCCATCTTCAAGGTGTTGGATGAGACCTCCATTCTTCTTTGTGAACTGGTCCTAGGGTTTTATAAACTGATTGTAATAAATAGTGTTACAACATTCCTTCCTCCTGTCATCCCTGTTTTTGTTGAGATTTTGCAGAGTTTGTATTGCTTTGCGAGGTACATCTGTGTTGAAGGTGATGGGAAAAGGGAGAAGGAAAGTGTTCAATGATGTCCACATTCAAAGGCTACCCGACTTCGAGCATTTTTTAAGATTACAAGGGTTTGTTTTTAAATATCAATCTCTGCAAAGATGTATCTTAAAATTATTTCATGTTTATCTAGGTATCTCTGACTATAGCATGTCCTGTATGTATTTATTTTATCATATTACTCCTATGAATTATGCAAATATTATTCACTACCTGTAAATGATAATACAATGAATGAAGAGTTGTGACGTGTTCAGGGAGCATCAGTTGGGACTAGAGCCAGATCCAAGTTTCTGTCCCTTTATCCAAATTTTTTTAAGGGTGCTACGTACATCACTCCTACCTTTCCCTCTCTCTGCCCCATCAGGGTGATACACGCTCCCACTATCCCAGTTAATAGGGCGACCTGTCTATAATGTGGTGATGTCCTGGCTGCCTTGGGTAGAGTGGTATTGAAACTGTTGCAACCCACATTTTTCTTTGTCTTGCCCAAAGTTTGAGCAGGAGCTCTCAATTTGCAGCAAATATTTGTGAAAATCTTGCCTGTCAGTTCCGTCTGGAGCTTGAAGACATGTATCTGTTCCTGAGTGGTTTTCCATGGGGAACTGTAAAGCACATCTGGACCCGATTCCTTCCTCTGGGGTTCCAGTCTTTACCACACTGCAGTTCAGAAGCTGGAGTGATGAACTGATGCATTTGGGCACAGCACCTGCAGCTTTCAGTCCCTGTATAGTAGGACAATACCGTGTCACTAAATTTGGACTACTAGTTCTTGCGTTCTACCCTGCAGTGACAACATCCAGGAATACTGTAAAGCCTGGTGGGAACCCGAGGAGGGCCTCAAAATGGCAGACATGGAAGTGTATGCAAGTGTTGTACAGAATTGTTTGTGCTTATTTTACAGAAGAAAGGAGGCAACTCCTTGGGAGCTGGGAAGCGGCTGACGTGCAACGTATGGACCCCCAAACTGCTGTCCTGCTTGTAACACAGCTGTCTTCTGTAACACGATGGGAGCAGGGTGTAAGAGCTCTGGTCTTGTTTTAACCGTGCCCGAGTCAACCGGAGCTGTGAGAATCTGCCAGGGACCAGGTCTGGGGGCTGTGCTTGTTGTCACCCCTCACGGGGGGTGCAGGCGTTCCCCCAGCAGCTGTGAGGGTGGCCGTGGTGTTTGTGTGTCTACGCAGACATACGTACACCTCTCTGGACGCACGTGTGCGTGTGTGCAGGCCCACGCAGCGCAGCGCCCCCCGCCCCGGCTCCGCGGCGCCACCTGCTGCCCGCGGCGCCCCGCTGCAGCCGCTGGAGGCCTCGGGGTGCCCGGCGCGCTGGGCCTGGCCAGACCTGGCCACCTGAGCATCGCCATCAGCATCCAGGGGACTGGGCTTTCCCGAGAGCTCCCACAGTTCCGGTAGCTGGCATCAATTAAAACAAAAACCTACGGGATCTCGGGGCCTGTGTCACATTAGTGTTCTTGCCGAAGACTGCAGGGAGCACTGCCTGTTGCTAGCACGTGCGCTGTGCCCTGCAGGAGCCTGTGATGAGATTCATGTGTACGTTTTGCAGAAGATCTTTCCTTTCTGGCTGCTAGCTCTCTTATAAGAAGGGCCTGCCTTCTAGCTGCATTCACACACATTATAAAGAACTCTGGTGTGCTAGTGGTGGTATTTGGGTCTTGCCTCTTCCCCCAGTCATATAGTATAATGGTCTCTTTAGAACCTGCTGCTTAGGATCCAAATTTATAGCCTGTTTTTTAGAAAGGATAAGCTATTATAGAACTGATTATGCATTTGCATATTCATCAGCCATATAGAGGAGGTAGAGAGCTGGGAAGGGAAAGAAGAAATGAATGGTCAATAGAGAAGGCTTCAAGGAGAACACAGATTAAAAGGTCTATTTATTTTTTACAGCAGAAGCTAAAAAAGGGCTGTGCACAATTCCCCACCCCCATTCCTTTTCATAGCAATTGCTTATGGGCCGCTGCCTCCCCTTGTATTTCTCTGCACTGTACTCCTCTCGTACACATGCGTTCTTGCTCGCTCACTGGCAAGTGTACTTTCTCTGATTCACACACAAGTGTGTACACAAGCACAGGTAAAATTCCTTTCCTCACTTTACCATTTCTTGCACTACACAGTTCCTTACCTCTTTGACCATGTGCCATACGATGAACCTTTTCTTGACATGGTACAATTAAAAACTAACATTAATGGTAAGCTCTTGGCCTACTTCTGTGTTTTTCTATTTGTCAAAACCCAGCGTGCAGTCCTGGGATTGCTTTTCTCTCTTAACACTTCACTGCCTAGAGTCTAGAGGCCCAATTATGTAACTGCTTCTGACTTGTCTGACATGAGGGATAATGAGAATGCTACATACTCAGTTTGATCTAATTTCCCGTCCTCTTTTCAATTCAGACTTTATTTGGCCCATGTTTAGACAAAGGCGCTTTTGAGAAAAGGAAGATTAAGTGAGGAGGAGAGAACTGAAGCTGTTAATTACTTGCACGTAATCATAAGTACATGTACTATTTTAAACCTGTGTTAAAGGTAGGGAAGAGATGTTAATCTATGTCCAGCTGCTTTGATATATTTGCATGCTTCATAAGGATGAAGCCAGCCATGGGAGCCAGCTCAGCTCTACTTAATGGGAGGAAAACTTGTCCTTGAGGACGCACCCCAGCTTATTCACCAGTGCCCTTTCACACTCACTACCAAACCACAGGGACAAAGGGAGTGAAGGCAAGCAGAGAATGAATTTACATGTGGGAGAACTCCTTTCTTCCAAGAGTACAAGTTTTAGAGGGTTTTTTGTGGAAATACTAGAATTCTCTTTTTCCTAGGTTCCAGTATTTTCCCTCTTCACCTGGCTGTTCTCAGTAGTGGAGCTGGCATAACTGAGAATGAACATAGTTAATTCTCTTTTAGAGAGCCTAAACAGGATGAAGACAAGGAAGCAAACTTGGAAGACAGAGAACACATACTCGAAACCTCAAGAAAAAATATTGTTAAAAATTCTTGCAAGCTAACAAGCAAGTTTACTTCAGGTACATAGTTAAATGCATCTCACATCTGGAAAATTGAGGTTAGAACACTCCTAGGTCAACATTTGCTGAAGAAATGTTTCCCTGAAGTGTTTGCACCAGGTAAGAAAATGCTTTTTGAGTACTAAGTACAGCTTTAAAATAGGATTATTTTTCTTAGTCTGTGTGGTTAGAAAAATTTGATCAGGCAAAGAGAGTAGAAATGGGGGATGATATGTCATGTTGAAGAATAAGATAAGAAATGTCTGCTGTTGTATTCTACTCCAACTTATTTTTTTTACTCCAGGTGCTACCGCTGTACAGACATAGCAGGATAGATTCAACTTTTCATTCGTCCTTTTTACCACTGGAGGAGGAGAATGTTCCTGCACTCTAGGGAAATGTGGAAGAGAACCCTGTCACTATAGGTGAACACCTGTATTGGTAAATCTGTAAATGATGCCTAGCATTAACTTTATTTCAAAATTTCCTGCCTCGTGAATCTACCAGGTGCCAAGATCTCATAGGTCTGCTCTAACTGCATAAAGGCACGGAGGCATCATTGTCAGTGGGTTTCCTCATACTACTAGAGACTGCAAAAAGAAGCAATTACTGAAGTGTACTGCAGGTTTTTTTAGCTTCCAGAAGCCAAAAGAGAAAAAATGCAGCTTTCAAATACCTGGAGGTGACATGAAGGGCCAGGCTATCTTTTGTCTGAAGAAGGGTAATACTTGAAGATAGTATACAGGTATCTTGACCTTGCTTCAGTTCAGCTTCCAGATCTGATAATAAACATGTTTTAGCTGTGTGGGGCTGCAAGCCCAAATTACTAGTAAAGTCTCTGCTGCTTTGACAGCATGCTGGGTTTTTTCCACTGTTAGCCACTGAAATGTACTTATTTGGTCCATGGTTGCAAACCATTTAGCATTCTTGGTCCTGGGGCTGCAGTGAAGCTGAATAATTCAAAAAAGGAGGAGTTGCATTGTTTTCTTCCATGTTAAGCTTCTAAATTTATTTCTATTGAATTTTACTGCATTCAAGTTAATTACTGGTATCGCTAGAGTAACAACTGTTTCTTATTGCACCTTCTTTATTTGTTAACAGTGAGCATAAGTGCTTCTTTTTGGGGGGTGTGTCTTTTTGTCTTTTTTGTCTTAAGAGTTTTATTCCAGTTTTGATTAAATGGCAAGGTTATTTTGCCTAACACTGTTCTCCCAAAACTTCCAGGCTAATCCATTTGGGAAACATGGAATATGTTCTCAAGAGATTTCTTATTGCTTAGCTACTGAAACACCTGCTAAAGCTGAGCTCTTTAAAAAAACTGAAAATTATTTAAATGTGAAAAAGAGTGGGTTGGTCTGGAAAAGAAACTTCTCAAAAGACTAAAATTAGAATGGAATGTGTTAGAAGAGAAATACTGGTGGGGGAGGAGGACTAAGTTTTTTTTAAAATAAAAATGCTACCTCTTGAGTAATGGTCAAGGAAATTCTGGTTAGGATATTAGCTGCTGCTCCAACCCAGAGCAGTTTCTGAATTCAGAAATAATTATGTTTCCCTAAAGATAGATATACAATACAGACTGCATTTTTTTTCTGAGGTAGTCTAAAGCAAGGCTCAGCTTGATGTTTATAAATGAGACTTTTGAGTAAATGCTGTTAGTATACCAAGTAAATGGCCCTTTTTTCAGAGCAACTAATAACTGAACAAATACGCTTTGCAGATTAAGTTCTGCTCTCCCAAAGTTGCCTGAGTGAGCTCCCTTTCTGCTTGCAGAAACCTTGTCAAGGTAAAGTTAACTTTCTTTTTTACTTTCAGAGATTTTGCATTTCTATCTTGCAGTTCATCACTGTGACCACGACAGTTTGACACTTGTCTTGAGTAAAAA